GCCTATAAGTGTTACACAAGCAAACAAACAAACAAACAAACAAAAATGTGGGCAACTGCACTAGCTTAATCATAAAAATAGAACTTTACTTGAAGTATTTGCATTTCATGTATTATATTATTGCATTTGGCCCACCACTCTGATTGATTTTAATTTTGGCCCTCTCAGGGAAAATATTTGGGCACCCCTGCATTAGATAAACCTGACCTATTGAGAAGCTGGTTAGCCAATATCAGTAGAGACAAGTTTCATCCTTCAAAGTATCACCGGGTATGCAGTGAACATTTTTTAAGAGTTAAATACATAAAAGTTAAAAAGTAATAACCACATGTCAGTATTAGTTCAAGCCATAATTATTCAACTAGCTTAAAATCTAAGTTAGGCTATGATCACACTGCAGGTCTTGTCAATTCAAATATTTTTCTCAATTCATATGTTTTTGTATTAAATTCTATCAGGCAGTGTATGAACTCTCCAGTGTACTTACGACCCCCATGCACAGAAGAAGATGTGATGTCCCATTCAGCATGCTGAGATTACAGAAATAAATATGGATACTACAMGTAAGCATTTGTTTTTAAATTTGCTCTTAAAACACATTTTTTTTGCCTTGGATTTTAACTCAGCTTGAGATATTTTATTGATGCCATGTAAGGAAATTATTGTTTTTATGATTTGAATGGCTCATCTGTATTGTTTTTTATGTTTACTTTTTATGCGTTATCATCAATGTACAGTACTTTGGCCAAACTGTGTTGTTTTTAAAGGTGCTTTATAAATAAAGTTGTATTGTTTTTAGTGTTTTCTCCCAGAAGTTACCTGACAAATTTGACCTCCAAATCCAAGTTTCCCAGCAGCAGTGAAACCAACACAAAACTGAAAATAATATTGTTTCTACCAATCTTTGAATAGGTCAGACTCACRATGTCCACAGTGGCGATCACGGAGTTTACTGTGATGGCGGTGAGTGTGAGCAGCGTTCGAGCGTCTTTGGTTTCATGAACCCAGCAACATAGTGACTGCAGCTTGGCGGGACAACGTTTAAATTCCTCCCCCAGAGTCAGCAGCAGGAGCAGGAAGTAAATGCAGCCACMGAGGATGAACTGCGCCACCATTGGACACAGCCTGGATGTAAAATAAGAAACAGTTGCGTATCAAAGTCTAATATGTGTTTTCAGGTTCTTCTGAGGTTTATAAAATCCAACAAACAAGTTTGTAACTAGACATGGGTTTTTACGATGTAAAAACAAGTGTGCATTGCCACGTAGCATGTCATTGCAGCATGGCTTTGCCT